CCATCATCTCTAAAAATTGCACAGCTGATTAAACACTATTTTCATTGACTTCTGGGATAGCCCAGCCCATTAGCAGGACTGAGAAGGAGTGAACTGCTGGGATTGTTCCATATCCGATGCATCAGGAAGAATTACCAGGACTAAAACAGAAGGTGACTTATCTGCTTGAGAAGAATTAAAAATAGAACAAAAACACTCTTCTCAGCTTGTCTTCTCCTTCCAGCATGCATCAAACATTACTAAACATTTCTGAGCTGAAGTGCCAAAGTGTGGAAGTCTGGCAGCACCTCCACAGACTGCTGTGATGATAGAATTCAGTTAATCTGTAGCTAAGACGTGGCATGACTAAAAACTGGTTTGCTGCCTTTTCCACTCAAAGACAGCATCTGTGTCTAAGGGGCTAAACAGAATAACTGCAAGATTTCTCCACATACCCACATGCATGTACAAAAGCACAGTGGTAGGCAGAATAAAAACTGGTCTCTGAGCCAGATGCTCAGCTATATAAATCCATTTAGCTTCATTAAATTTAGTGGGACTATTCTCATTTGTTAGTTAAAGATGTGGCCCTCTGATACTGTCTATTAATACGTACCTAAAAAGACTCTAAACATCTCACTCATTACTCATGTTACGTTATGGCTAACCCTTTGAAATTTGAAAGATTTCAACACATGTTGCATACCAAACTTATCAGCTCATGTAATGGGCTGATGACTTGGCCAGCCTGTCACAATGTCCTATTTGTTAATCAATGTGCCCAGGAAAACTGAGAACAAATATTTACATTCCCTTAGGGTAGAGCCAGGGTCAAGGGAGCAAAACCCCATTAATTCACAGCACCCTGAAGGTTCAAAGCTTGTGACATAAAAGCAAAGAATGTTCAAGGTCTGATGATCAAAAGCCCATTAAAAAGATAACAGCCACCTCCACTTAAAAAAAGGAAAAAGCAGTCACAGGAAACGTTTATTTTTACCTCCTGTATAAATATAAGAGCTCTTTTTGAACACTTTTTTTAAGGTATAGAGACCTACATGTTTTGTGTCGTTCTTGTGACCTGAACCAATAACTGAGTTCCCAATAAACCAGGTTTGTGGATACTTTGCATCACAGGATGGTGAAAAATAATGATAAGGTTTGGCCATAATTTCTTTATCCCCAGGTCTTCAAATAGTGGCCTATTCTTAGTGTCACAGAAGTGAAGCAAAGCCAGGGGAGTTTATAGCTATTCATTGCATTAAAACACATGTAACAACTCTGGGTCAGAATTACTTCACTGGGTTCTCCTGTTTCCCTGGATAGTCTGCTGTGCATGGAAACTCATTTCCTCTCAACCAGTGCAGCCCACATTGGGCAAATATGAGCATCAGGCCAAAATGATATACCACAATTCAGCAAACCTTCCAGCAAGTACCCTATAAAGTCCAAAGTATTTAAAGCTGACCTCCCTAGGTACAACAATGTCTCTTCCCTATTTCCAAGGTAAGGTCAATGCCACTCCATTGCAGCTGCCACTGTCAGTACAGGAGGATTATAGCTTACCCCCCACCCCCTCTGCCTCAGAGGATGAATCTGGCACATAAATGCAAGTTCTGGAAGGAATAAATCTGTTACACTCAACATCTGCCTTTGAAATTTCTTGGGTCAGGGATTACAGACTAGGTCTGCTTTATTGGCTTCAATTAAAGGATGCTGATCTTTATCAATTTAGGTTCTGTTTTTGTGCTCCAGTGTCTTATCCAGCATCACATTCATGGGGGATACTTATACAGTAGTCTAGCTAATCCCTTGGTAAGGGAAATCAAATCAGCATAGAATTCATAATCTCCTCAGATGTTGTGGGCTGTGGTACAAAACCACAGTGGTAGGCAGTATAAAAACTGATCTCTGAGCCAGATGCTCAGCTATACAAATCCATTTAGCTTCATTAAATTTAGAAGGACTATTTTCATTCATGTTAGTTAAATGTGGCCCTCTAATACTGCCTATTAATACATAGCTAAAAAGGCACAATCATCTCACTCATCACTCATGTTACGTAGACAGTGTCCGATACGAGGAAGAGACAGAAGGAATGTAGCCATTTCTCTCAGATTCTTCTCCTTCTAGATGAATGGACTGGCTGTAGGAACAAAGCTGATCTGATAGCTCATTCTTTTCAACATAAAACATTCTTAGGCATGAGTTTTCCCCACCCCAGCCCCACTCCTCTAGCAAAACCTAAATAAAAAACAGCAGAATTGGGTATAAAAAGATCCTCCCATGGAAGGAACCTAATTGCTTTGGGAAAGCTTATTATACAGCTCTGTTCTGGATAAAAGAAATAGACCTATTCCAATCACTAGGTACCACCTTTCCACTATTTAATTACCTGTTGACAGACATAGATAACTGGACCCATCTGACAGACTTCATTCAAGCAAAGCTACAACTGAGGTTAAATTCAGACACTGACACAGATTGGCCAATTCTCAGTATTTTACCACAACACGATATTTGGTATGTTTCTTAGAGCTGCAGAAAAGAAGCTTTAAAATGAGAACCAGAAAGGCAAGTTCACAGGCACTATTTTTTAACCTTTGAGTTTTGATCCAATGTCATTTTTGTGACCGATTCACGATTTTTGAACATTCAAGTAAGGCATTACTGCTTAGCATAAAGTATAGAATTGATGTAGCAATTTGGAGCTTCACCTTTCTAAAATTGTAGTTAGACCCCAAAATGGAACTGAAGTCATCTCATTTGAAAAAAAGAGACAGCCTTGTTATTTGCTCAAAAACGACTGATGTGTTGACTTCATATCAATCTCAATACAAAACCTATAACCTCCATGGGCCTGATTCAAAGCCCATGCAAGTGAAGGGGAATCTTTTAGTGGGCTTTGAATCAGTCCATAAGTAAACCACATGGAATTATAAAAAATTAAGATACATACACTGCCATATGCTGCTTCTGATTAGATTTCTAAAACCCATAATTCCAATTAGTGGTATGTGCATGTGGTTTAAACCCACAGACACTGCTTATGTTTTCACAGGTTGTCTGGTCAATTCCACTTGATTCCTCCTGGTACTAGTTTGATTAGCAACACTCAGAAGAGTAACTGTTTTGTATGGCTTGTTGTGCTAATTATGTTACCAAGATACTAACTACCAAACAATGCCATACAAAATTTAACTTTAAAAAGATGCTGCTCCAGAGATTCAAGACATATATCAAATGTTTTATTTGCAAGTTTCACATAATGCGAGTACAAAGTTAATTCAAAACCCCAGCATGTGCATCCTTATACTTTGATAATTTCATCCTGTGGATTATAGCAAGAGTAGTATCAATTTCATTCTGTATATGATAGGCAGAGCGTAGTTTGTAATGAAGTTTAAGTATATCCAGCATCATATAATAAGGAATGTCTTAACTCAGCTCCAGAGACAAATTTTGTAAGAAACTGAATTTAAGATATGGAGAGATGAGAAACAGTTAAAGAGACTTTATCCGTCACATTTAAATGAAAATATGGATGAGCATTGTACATAAAGTGAAATTGTTTCCAGACTTATGGAAGTATTATGTGCATGGCATTGTTATAGCAACAAAATTGTGGCTGCTTATTCCTGATGTAGGGACCACGATTTAGGTTTTAGTTATCTTGGGTCAAAACTTGTTAGAAGGGCCTGTGAACTTATTGCCCTTGTTAGCACCTGCCCAGAGATTGACTTGTAAGCATGCTCAATAAGAACCCACATTCTGGTGGGAAGACCATAAGGGACAAGCAAGCATGTTTGTGTGACTGATGGATCGAGTGCTGTGGGTGGCATGAAGTGCTGTCTGCAATGGAATAGTAGCGTGCGCTCAAGGGTATGGTTGGATGGTCGGTGATTGACAGATGTGGGGTGATCTGTCTGTATAAAAGAGTCCTGACTCAGTGAGCTGGGGGCTCAAGTGGAATTGAATGGGATGGTGAGTGTGCTCAAGTGTGGTGCTTGAGTGTGTGCTCGAACCAGCATGTTCCCTGCAGAGTGAACATTGCAGTGTGTGGTCTGGTTGTCATCTTTAAAGGAGAGTCCAGAGAGCACCTGGCCTCTCATCTTGTCCCTGATGGTGTGTCCTTGTGAGTTTGCTCGTGTGTGGCAGGGATGGGTGGTTGTTTGAACCAAATAATTGAGAGCAAGGAAGGGCCAAGTGAGTGGCCAATATCTCCTCTCCTTTGTGTCTGAGATGGTTTGTGTCAGGGTAGTGTCTGCAGTACTGCTACCGCAAATGCATAGAGAAAGTGCATATGCTCTTTACTGCCACCAATTTGATTATGGTATAGTATTGGGTCCTTGCTTGTTGGTGCACTTTGAGTGTGTGTATGTATGTGCTCCAAGAGAAGGGGGTGGGATGCTTTTAATTAAAGCACCTCCAAAAGCCACTCTAAAGTGTCCAGAGCATCTCATGTATTAGCATCCCAGTGCTTCAAAATGGCGGCAGGGGCACTTTATCTAAAGCTTACCAAATGAGCTTTTGATAAAAGTGCCCTTGCCACATTTTGAAGTGCAGGAATGCTGATACACAAGATGCTGGAGGCTGCTGGAGTGCGGTACTTACCACGCTCTAGCACAGCGGTCTCCAAACTTTTTTGATCGCACACCCCTATCTATATAAATAGAAGTTCTAATATTTTCTTCCTGCACCCCAATGGATTGTCTTGCACACCCCAATTTGGAGACCACTGCTCTAGCAGACTCAATTAATCGAGTTTGCTCCAACGCACTGTAACTACAGCTTGTTGGAACAGCCTCCCTGCTCGTGTATGGGCACCCTTTGTATTGTAGCTTGTTTTATATAGTCATTGATTTGTTTACTGTTATTTTGTTAATACATTATTGGCCGTTTTGAATCTCAGAAAAATCTTCTTAAGGAGGATTAGCATGGCCTGAAAATGGCCTAACCTCAGCATTTATGATACAGTGCATTCAGGACACAATGGAAAACAGGTTAGTCCAGCAGTTTCTCACCTGTTTCCATGAGCTATCCTCCATCTTCTCTCCTCTGCTGAGGACCTGAAAATTAAATCTTTATGATCAGCAACTGAAAATATAAGAAACGAATCTATACTTGGCCTACCATAACAGCAACTTGTCCCCCACTGTTTGGGCATAGATATTATTTGTCAAGTAAATTTTAATTTAATATTTTAAATCAGCATGGAGAGCATGCGGGGATTTTTCAATACATGTTTATATGGAAAAGATGCATAACCATGTGAAAACAAGAGGCCTACTCCAGCATTTAAAATTTTTTTCATTTTAATAATAATTCAACAAACTCATGAATTCTGGTATCTACAAATTCAACCAGTTACAACCTCATGAATATCTAGAAGACCCAGTGGGACCAAAATGTTTCAGTAGGAACTTAGCTGAAACTCAGACAAGGACTAGGTGCCTAAAGTCCTAGATAGAGATTCACACTGGCGAGGAGCCAGCCTCCTAAAATCTCATTACATGCCTAAATCCAGTACATATCTCCTTTTGGGACTGCCAGCATCCCCAGGAAACCACATTTAGGAGTTCACGCCTGCGCAGAAGCAACCTTCTACACTCGCTTCAGCAACTGCCCCCAGCCTCCAGAGCAATTCAAATTGGCCCCATGAGGCAGTCAAGCTCTGGCTGAGTCCCTGGGAAGGGCCAGAAACACACAGTTAACTCACACTGACAGCACTGAATTCAGTTCAAAGCCAGACTGCCCACCTTCTGCCCAGTAACATAGTATTTAAACACATTTGCCCAGGATGTGGGTCCTACATCCCTCGCACCCTGACAAGCTTTTAACTTCCCAAGAGACTGCCATAATCCATGAGTTATAGAATAGGCTAGTTAGAGAGCCCTCATCTCTCCGATAAAAGCTGGGGCACTGAGCAGAGAAGAATGCAAAAGTCATGGAGTGAGAAGGAAAACAAGTAACAGGGACTCCAGTTCTGAAACCTAATGGTTAAAGGAGTCTCCTCAAATGAAGAAGTCCTCAGTTCTAGTGTCTGCTTTTCAACTTATTTCTGTTTTTAACTAATAACTGCGTAATGCAAGATGCATAAACAGTAGGGAAGTAGGAACAAAAAGCCAGGACTCCCATCTCCAGGGTGTGCTCTAACCACAAAGCCAAATCCCTCCTGCTTGCTCAGAGCACTGTTAAGGCATTTAACATTAGACAGTCATCATCTGAAAACAGAAAGAAGCCCGATAGCAAAGATCAGAACCTAGGCCTTCACTCTTCCAAGGGAGTCCCCTAACTACAGAGACAGGCCCTACCTGGACTGGTCTCCTTCTGGCTCTAAGGCTGTTGTCTGCTCAGTGGCCAAGCTTCACCATAGGGATGGGGGCAGGGGTGATTAATCTTCATCTTATATGCTAGCCTGGGGTTGAGGACACTCTCATGATATGTGGTATATGTATGTTTAAATCCTCACAGGGCAAGGAGAGCCAAGAACACAGTCCCACCCCCATTTCCTGGATGAATGCTGTAACCACTAGCCTACTGAGCAGAAGGTGAGCAGGCAGCAGCACCACCACCACCATTACTGATTTGCCTACCTTTGGAAACTCAATAGGCAGCAACCTCCAACACACTACTGCTAAGCACTGGAAATTACTAGGGAACAAGGATGCATAATACTTAAACTTTCATGTTTCTCACGGACTACTCCGAAGTGCCTTCATACTTTTGGACTTGCTTTCTGGGGTGACTACTGCTCCACATTCTCCCCTCTAGAGAGACTCATACACTTTAATCATTCTTAGGCACCTCTGAAGCCTCTCCATTAATTGTGAGGGTATTAGGCACCTAACCAGGTCATTTAGTGTCTCCTTCCTGGAGCAGGCACTCCAAGGTTGTGGAAGGTAGCGCCAAAAGTTCAAATGCATTCTGAGACGTGCACTATTATCTAGTCTTGAAGATTCATCCGCAAGGCTGAAACACATAGGTCCAGAGAACTAATTGCCAAACTTGACGCAGCTCTTAATGATGCTAAAATTGTAAGTCACTACATGCACAAGAAAAAAAGGAAACAGAATGATAACCAACCTCTGATATGCTTTTACACATACTTTCTTAAATATGTTTCAGAGAGACTTCCAATGGACATTTATCAAATTCTTTTTCTACACCCAGGAATTGACATACTAACCACCACAAAACACATCATCTGGAGCTACCTACCGTCCCAAACATTCTGATCATGCATGAAAGCTCACAGAAATTCTTTGACATACATTTCAATAAAAATCTCAAACTGCTTTGGTTTAATGTACACACCTTCAAAGAATGTTACATGTTCAAAATATTAACAACAGCTGGAAGAAACTGCACAACTGTGCAATGCTGACAAAAAGGAACCCAGAATTAAGTATGACAACAGAAAATACAAGAAATTAAAGGATTATAACAAACTGTAGATAGCATCTGACAGTGCAAAAACCTCTTGAAAGATCACCGGGCTCTAAACAATAATATCCTTTTGCTATAAAATAACATAGGAGAAATGGTGAAAACTCACTGTTAAAACTACAATACTGTACCCAAGCAGGCAGGACATGATCCTGCCATCTACCTAACAATACCTGGGAAGAATGACTTCTTCAACCAAACACACCTGCCGGTGACATAAATAACTCGTACAGTAACTGTTTGTGTACCTTGCAGCACAATAGACAAGAACAAATAATAAATCTTTTATGAACTGCTCAAACACCAAACTAGATATTACAATGCCATACCAAAAATATACTCCTACCTCTTTACATACTTATATATATTGAGCTATAATTTTCTTAACTTGTAAAAAGCCTTTAAAAAAAAAAAAAAGAAAAAAAGATCCCCTAACAAAGTAAAATAATAGTAATAATGATAGCAACAACAAAGAAAACAGCAACTTAAAGAAATACTTTAATTCCAGCTTGCTACATGGTCACCTGGAAATCTCAGACAAAAACCAATCACTGAGTAAGACAATTGAAGGTTGTTGCCATTTAGGAAAAACCTGTCTGCTAGCATCCAAGGACAAATATAACACTATAACCAATGAGCTTTATTAGAGGACTAGAAAATAAAACAGAGAATAGATCATGCCACAGACACGATAACATTAATTTGCACTTCTTACTATTGGAAGACTGGTGCTTTAGTATTACAGTATGCTCGCTATTATTCAGATAAGGGTTTGTGACTCGTTGCTCTTATGATAACACACTGTAAAAGTTTGCATACTTCATCATGTTCAAACCACTGTTATCTGTAAAGTATCTGCTTTCTTCAAATGAATAAATTTCTCAGAGTCAAACAGAATTCTGAAGAAATTATTGCTCATAGGAATTATAAGGAATAAAGTCCAAATTGCCCTTAAACAATCCAACTGCAAAGCCAGTCCAAGGGCAACTAAAAATCCACCTGTGCACCTGAACATGAGAAAGCCATCTATATCACAGATACCACATAAGAAACATAAAAGTTCATAATTTATGACAGAAAAAATAATGTTCTTTGCTTTTTACGAACAATAAAGCTTTATTTATATATATTTTAAAAAAATGATAGCTATGCTGGCCCATGTTCTCTCCACAGGTGTATTAGATAATTAAGCATATCATTTGAGATGTATGTATACTGTGGATCTCTGCTACAGTACTTTCCCCCACAAGTAGCAAAGTAGTCGGAATATGTAGAGAAAGATTCTCTTTGGTAGCAAAAAGGCCACAGAAGGGCCTGCCAATGTCATTCAGAGTAGCCCATAAACTGGCTACTCTACCCTCAAGCTGGCACGCCTGCAACTGTTTCTTTTTGCCTTCCCTTTTTATGCTCACTGCTGGGTGCACCTGATATTGGGTGAAGTCAAGAATCTGATCCCATAGATTTAGAATTCCTTTTTAAATGTTTTTTTTTCCACCCAAGCTCTTTGAGAGCAAAAGAATTGAATACTAGATTTTCTTGGATTCATCTAAAATACTGGTTACAAACTGTATAGAATACACTATATATGAAGCTCGGTGATCACAGATTGGCTTGAGTCTCATCAAGAGTAGAAATGAGATTAACTTCACCGAATTCAAGACATGGTCATCATGAAATAGCAGGGCAAGGCTCCCCATAGTGGTCTACCAATAAGCCCTTGGCATGGTGGTGCTGTTGCGGAGGTGAGAGGACAGGTCACCTATTCCACCCATTCAATCATAATAAAATCAGTGAGGGAGCCTGCAACAGCAATTTCTTATAGTATATGTTGTGCCATGGATTCTTATCTGTGAACCTATTTTTAGCTAGAAGAATTGTGCATTTCCATCACCTGTCCTGATTTCAGCTTTCAGTGCAAGTCATTCAGACATCTTGCTGCTTTTAATACTAGTTTAGAATTTTAAATGAATTACTCTACTAAAATTAAGATCTATATCAATTTCTCATATCCAGCACAAGGGGAAAAAAAGCTCATTTCTTTATCTATGCATGATTGACCTGGGTACTTACCTTTTATAACAAACTGACCTGGCACCACATAGGTCACTGTATTTGAACTGCATACAGTCTTTGACAGGAATGAACTCTATTTGGATGCAAATCTCAAGTAATTCCTCTTTGACAATGCAACAGCCTTCAAAGAACAAATGCTTGAGATCCTCCTACAGAGATCTGCAATAAATGGCCAACATTTGGCAATATATCTCTTGAATAGGAAAAACCTGGATCCACATAAAAAAAACGGCATGCTACAAGTCAAACTGCCTTTGCCCTTTTACCTTAGTGCAAAGTATTTCTCAAGTAATAACATTCGGTGCTTGTTATTTAAAGTATTGGCATCCTT